AACACTCCGTCTCCTCCTCCTCATCCTCCTCCTTCCGCCTTCCCTTCTACCCACCATCTTCCTTCTCCTCCCTCCCCTTCCTCCTTCCCTCCCCCTCCCCCCTCGCGTCCTTCCCTCCTACTCCTCCAACCCACCTCCCTCCTCCCTCCTTTCCCTACTTTTCCCTCTCCTCCACCCTCTCCTTTCATTCCCTCCTTCTTACCACCCCGCTCCTCCCCTTCCACCCTTTCCTGCTTCCCCTGCCTTCTTCTTTCTTCCTCCTCCACCACCTTCTCCTCCTCCCCTCCTCCTCCTCCTCCTCTACCTCCTCCTCTCCCTCCTCCACCACCATCTCCTCCTCCTCCACTCCCCCCCCTCCTCCTCCACCTCCTCCTGTTGTTCTTCGTTCTCCTTATCTACGTCTTCATCCTGCTGCTACTTCTCCTCATTTCTCTCATTATTCTCCTCCTCATCCATTTCTCCCACCTCCTCCTCCTCCTCCTCCTCCTCTACTACCACCTCCTCCTCCTCATCCTCCTCTTCCTCCTCCCCCACGTCCTCGTCATGCTGCTATTTTTCATCCGCCCCCCCCCCCTTCTCGCCCTCGTCCTCCTCTTCACCGGTCTTCTTATCATCCCTAACCCTTTATCATTATATCATCTCCATCATCAGCAACCGCTTACACCTTTCGGGAGCTTACAAGCAATTCTCAGCCCACGACTGTAAAACCCAACTTCTTTACCCAAAAGTACTACCTTTCGCCCAACGCCAAACAACTGGTCTCGGGTCTGCGGTGGGTAAAACCTGTGCCAGCAGCGAGCGGCCTAGTTTGTGCAAATTCAAGGCAAATTGCCTATCAAGGTAAATAGCGGAGAAAAACACGTTTTCACAGTGGTGTCGCGCTGCGACGCGACACATTTCGCCGCATTGTTAAAGCAGCCAAGAATTTGGCCCCTATTTAGGGGGGAGGGGGTGTTTGTAGAAGGGTGTTAGTATGAGGGGGTGTATAGCCAGGCATTTATGTAGCAGGCGACGTCGGTATCCTGGCGACACAAAGTGGGTCAGTGTGCGTGAGTACGCGGCTTGCGCGCTTGTGCGTGCATACGTGTGTGTGTGCGCGCTAGCGAGAGTTTGTGTGAAAAGGGCGCATGCGTGCGTGTGTTCGTGTGTACGCGTGTATATGTGCGTGTGCGCGTGTATGCGCGCGTGCATGCGCGTCTGTGCCTGTGTACGTCTGCATGTGCGCGTGCGCGTGCATGCGTGTCTGTGTCTGTGTACGTCTGCATGTGCGTGTGCGCGTGCATGCGTGTCTGTGTCTGTGTACGTCTGCATGTGTGTGTGCGCGTACATGTGCGTCTGTGCGTGTGTACGTCTGCATGTGCGTGTGCGCGTGCATGTGCGTCTGTGCTTATGTGCGTGTGTGCGGCCGTGTGTGCGCGTGCACGTGCGTTTGTGAGTGTGCGTGTGTGCGGCCGTGCGTATGTCCATGTGTGCGTGTGTGCACATGCGTCTGGCCATGTGTGCGTGTGTGCCTGTGTGTATGTTTGCGGCCGTGCGCAGGCGCGTGTTTGTCCGCGTGTCCCCGTGTGTTTGTGAGAGATTGACCTACTCCTTATACGTTAGGGGCCTGCATCCGGTTTGACCGGGAACTCACCACGCGGTTAGGCGTTCATAATGGGCAGTTGTCCTAGACTGAATTGTTTTTTTTGTCCTAGCAAGTGTACACGTATGCACACATGTCTCTCTCTTCTCTCTCTTCTCTCGTCTTCGTCTCTCTCTCTCTCTCAGTCTTCTCTCACTCTCTTCCTTCTCTCTCCCTATACCCGATTCTCAGTTTACATTCGCTCTCCGTTTCTTGCCCCCATTTCTTCCACTACCGGTCCTCGCTATAAACTAGACTGAAATGTTGTACAAGGGTACTCGTGTGCACGCATTCTCTCTCTCTCTCTCTCACTCTCTCTCTCTCTCTCGTCTCTCTCTCTTCTCTCTCTCTCTGTCTCTCTCTCTGCTCTCTCTCTCGCTCTCGTCTTCTCTCTCTCGTTCCCTCTTCTCACCCTCTCACTCTCGCTTCCTTCTCTCTCCCTCTCTCTCTTCGTTTCGTTGTCTCCCTATAATAGCCGGACCGTCGAGTTACAGTCGCTCTCTGGTTTCTCTTCCACTCTTCTACTACAAGTCTTCGCTATAAACTAGAACAGAATTTGTTTTTACAATGTTAGCACATAAAACAAATTCTCACGTTTCTCTCGTGTCTTCTCTCTCGTCTCTCGTTCTCTCTCTCTCTGTCTCCTCTCGTCTGTGGTTGCGGTTATCTGTCTCGCGCTGTTTGCTCTCTCTCCTCACTCTGTAGTTTACATTCACGAAGCTATATTACACACATCTCTTTCCCCTCCCTTCGTCACGTCTCTCCTCTCTCTCAGTCTCTCTCTGCAGTCTCTCTCTCCACGTCACTGCCTATCTCTCTCTCTGTCTCTCTCTAGCTGTCGTCCTTCACACAGCATTCTCTCCGTCGGCTTGTTCCCCTCCAGTACTGTCATCTCGTGTGCGTGGAGATTCATAAGGCCACGGGCAATCGATCTGTAGCGTTTGTAGTCAGTAGTCTCTCTGGTAGTAAGTCATCTAGGGTTAATATTTGACAAACTTTGTTGTTTATTACAAAAACCGCGAAAGTGGCCGTCCTCGGCGGGCCATATTCGTTCAGGTTACGCTGATTTACGATGATTTCTCGTAAATCCCGGCCCGAGTTCATAGTAATCGTTTTAGTAAAATATGTGACTTTGAACGAAGGTCAATATTACAAGGCACTCCTCGTTACTTAACAGTACAATGTTTCTGATCCCCTGTATTTCATTTCGTAGCAATAAACACTTCTGACACACACTTGTCAATCCATTGTTGTTCTTGTTCAAAGTTAAAGCTAATAATAATATACGGAACGACGTTAATACGATCTATTTTTCTGTTGGCGGGCCGTCAGTTCTCGTACTAATGGGTGGCGACTGTAGTAATGAACTAATAAGTAATTGAATAAGAGTTGTAGGCTTTGCCAGGTAATTGTATCGTATTTTGTAAACAAGTTTAACGCTACTAAAGTTCCTTAATGTATAATATAAAACCTATATAAAATACCCCGCTTGTACACACCTTGTAATCCATTATTTTTTTCTTTGCTAATTCGGGGCTAATATAAGTATGTTTGAAGTGTTAATACGAACCCGCTTAAGCAATTATTTTGTCTTTGCCCGTCAGCTTTTTTACTACGGGGTTGACTGTGTAATGAATCTGTCGGAAAAATGTAGGCAACGCTGTCGCAGTAATGGTTTATATCCTCGCTCGCATAGTGTAGCGGAAGCGTTATTGTTTTCGGCCGTTTGGTGTGTTGTGGTGTGGTGTTGATGTGTGTGTGTGTGTGTGTGTGTGTGTGTGTGTAGTGTGTGTGTGTGTGTGTGTGTGTGTGTGTTGTGTGGTGTGTGTTGTGTGTGTGTGTTGTGTGTATGTGTGTGTGCTGTGTGCGTGCGTGCGTATACGTGTTCGCGCTCCGTAAAGCAGCAGTGTGGGTGTGCGTGTGTGTGTGTGGTCTGTTCTGCTCGATATGTTTGCCACCGTTAGAGGTCGAAACTTAGGTCCAGAGGTGGACCTTAGGGGGACAGTGAAACGCCTATGATGTTTGAGTGTTTTCACCCAAAGTCAAGGTCAACAGGTTCACATTTGATGACTGGATACATAGTAGACTAGATATATAGATAGATGATAGATAGATATGCGCGTGAGTGCGAGGTGCAGGGTGGGGATGGCTTTGATTCCACAGCCAGCGCGTGGCCCTGGCGAATCCATGCAAGGTTACGGTGACAGACTACTGTATCCGCTTAGCCGTGTGGTTGCGTGTTTGTAGTCGTACCAGCCAAGCGCATCTAGCGGAAGTGAACTGAATCGTGATGTTTTCCAGGGCGATTTTCCATTAGATTTCTTAGATATAGGTTTTTCATAAACATTAACCCAATAAATAACACAAAAGCAAATATTAGATCGAACCCTGTGCGTAGGAATGAAGCACGAAAAAGTTTCAGCCGAGTTCGTGCACGCGCCTAAATTGATGCAGGAACAAACAGAACGGACACTAACTCAAAGTTAGTTAGTATAGATTATTATATAGATGAAAGTTTGTCAATATTAACCCGTGCTGCCCGCTAGGTGGCCATGCCTCCTATCTACCCGCTGTTAGTCTTTATGACTGCCCTCTAGGGGTTAATAATGGCAACTTTGTTTTTATTATTATAACTTGTTTTAATATAACGTTATTATAACGTTTATTTAAAAAAAACTGTTTATTATTTACCCCTGCTGCCCTCTAGGTGGCCAAGCCTCCCATGTACCCGGATGTACAACCGCTGGCAGTCGACGAAGACGACAATGGCGACGAGAACAAGGACCGCGGCACTGGAGCGGCACTGACTTTCGACTTCATCCTGTCGTGCCTCGGCTACGCGGTCGGACTGGGAAACGTGTGGAGATTCCCTACCTCTGCTACCGAAATGGAGGAGGGTGAGCGACGCCAGGGGGCGCTCTGCGCTGCAGACGCGTGCGGGGTTATCGTGAGAGATGTGGTAGCAACCCCGAACGGAAATCATTGAAATGCTTCTAGTTGGGGATCATAACGATCTACACAGCCCAATAATAATTAGAATAAATAAATAATAACAATAATAATGATAATAATAAATACATAAATAAATAATAATAATAATAATAATAATAATAATAATAATAATAATAATAATAACTACATGGATACATAAATAAACATTAATAATAATATTAATAATAATAATAATAATAACAATAATAATAATAATAATCTAAGCTGTTTATTGTAGGGTATAGCGACGTCAGACAAAATGGTGGCCGTGGTAACAGTGTACTCGTGGCGTCTTCTAGCGGACATTCATAATATAGGGCTTTACTGAGACGATGCCGGACTCATGGCTTGTTCGGGGTCAAGTTTCATGCTTAACATTTACGTATTCATATTGTTCTCTGGTTTATCACCCTGTGCGCATACCATTTACATATTGCTCTCGGTTTTCTAATTTGCTTTGTGCGTCCATCTCGCTGCTTCCCCTCCCTGGTTCACCCGTGCCGTCTTCTTCCACACAGGTGCGTTTTTCATACCGTACCTGATCATGTTGTTCTTTCGTGGGACTGCCGCTGTTTTACCTGGAGCTATCTGTCGGACAGTTTACGAGTCTCGGACCGGTTGGAGTGTTCGGAAAGATTTCGCCGGTTTTACAAGGTTAGTTGATTGACCAGATGGTCGGTCGGGCGGCGCCTCTGCGGGGAAAAGAAAAAAAAAGGGTGGGTGTTTGATCGGTCGATCGGTCGGTCGGCTGATCATTGGGCGGAAGGGTGAGTGGGCGTCGGTCGATCGGGTCTTTAGGCGGGAGAGTGGGTGGGCGATCGGTCGGTCGGTCGGTCTTTGGGCGGGAGAGTGGGTGGGCGATCGGTTGGTCGGCTCGACAGTAGAATTATATCGATTATTAACCATTCATATGACATTTGATTAATACTGTATATTGGTAACACCACGAGCCCTGTAATGTAATTAATACTATATTTATTATTATTTTATTATGTACTTATTGTTGGTAATGCCACGAGTGCTATGTGCTAGATGTGAGTTTATGTGCGTCATGTTTTTTGCTGTAGGCATCGGCTATGCCATGGTGATGATATCAGCTCTGGTAGCGATCTATTACAACGTCATCATTGCATGGACCCTCTACTATCTGTTCGCATCCTTCCAGCGAGTTCTACCGTGGTCCGGGTGCAAGAACGGTTGGAACACAGACTGTAAGCTGGCAATCTCGTAATCTAATGATCCAGATTAATTCGATTTAATATTTGTTATACGTGAGAAGTTATCTCTTTCTTCCCCTGTCACTCTGCGGAGCAATCTTTCTTGTTTTCTCTTTCAACACGTGCGCTCTGCTTTTCTTACCCCTTCTCGTAAACCTGTTTTCTAAAACTACTCCTACGCTCCTTAACGTATCGCACCCTTAGGCATGTCTCGAACTCTATCAGAAACCAGCTAGACCGAAACTATATCTTTGCGGTACGTATGTACGCTGACGCATGAGCGCGTACGTGCGTGCCGCACCTTTTCACCGTGCCCACTCATCATATGCCGTGCGTTTCATATGCAGCGTGCTGGTCCAAGTCGGAAGAAGAAGAATGCATGAAAAGTAATGGCACCTACTACGCTCGTCAGTGTTATCTGAATCTCACATCAGCGGAAGCGAATGCTTACGATCAGCTGTCGAACAATGAAAGCAGTCTGCGCACATCAGCAAGCGAGGAATACTACAAGTAAATATAGAGAGCGAGATCTGGCTAAATAATGCAGAGCGAGAGAGCGAGAGAGAGAGAGAGAGAGAGAGAGAGAGAGAGAGGAGAGAGAGAGGAGAGAGAGAGTAGAGGGGGAGAGAGTAGAGGGGGAGAGACAGGGAAAGGGAGAACATGGGTTAGCAATGGATATTTTTCCAGCGACCTATACAGTTTCTCCCTCCCCACCCATTACCAGCGATGCTCAGCTGATTACCACACAGTAGGATTCACGATGGCCTCTCACCTCCCAACAACCGCACATGGCACACAACATCGCAACCGGTTTTGTTCGTAGTCGTATCTCCCCCAACACAACACAGCGACACAGCGGCCCAGCCACACAAACACACTACACACACATCACCACAGGCACAACACAAAACACACAAAAACCACACCAACAACCACACACAGAAAGCACAACAACACAGGATCACCCACACAACAGGGCCACAGCACACACACACACACACAACATTGGCACACACGCACACAAGACAAGAACACACACACACACACTCACACACACAGCACAGCACACACACACACACACCACACACACACAGCAAGAAGCCAACACAAACACACAACACACAACACACACACCAGGCACACACAAGACAAGCACAACACACGACACATACCACACACACACACGCGCACACAAACACATAACCACATCTCGTGCGCCTCCTGGCCATCGCCCACTCATCTCCATCATACCATCCTCCAAACACACACACACCGCCCTCCCTCAACCCCTCGTTCTACTTGCGACGGGCTTCGTCCACGACCCCTGGCTCATTTGCATGCGGTGTTTGCAGTCCACATTGGCACGCTCATGGCCATGCAAATCGATGACTGACTGAGCAATGATAACTATGACGTTAGCCTCGGGGCATGGTGGTGTGTGTGTGTGTGTGTGTGTGTGTGTGTGTGTGTGTGTGTGTGTGCGTGTGCGTGCGTGTGTGTGATGTGTGTGTGGTGTGCGTGTGTGAAAGTGTGTGAGTGTGTGTGTGTGTTGTGTGTGTGTGTGGTGTGATTTTTAATGTATGTGTGTGTGTGTGTGTTCGTGTGTGTGTGTGTGTGTGTGTGTGGTGTGTGTGTGTGATGTGTCCGGTGCGTGCGCGTGTTGTGTGTGTGTGTGTGGCGCGGGCGCCCCCCCCCCCCCCTCGCCGTAAAATCATGTTCCTTCTTCATGTGCGTGTGCGTGTGCTCGTGCGCGTGGATGTGGGTGAGCGTGCGAGTGTGTACGTTTGCGTGGGCGTTTGCTTTTCATGATTTTAAACCAGAACAAGGATTCTATTATAAGTAATACAGTATAAGAGACATGAAATCATGGTTTTTTGTATTCTAAGAATTTCATGTATACTCGATCAAAGATTTCTCTTTCTCAATATAGCGATGCATTAGAAAGGATGAGGAAGGTCAAGATTACGGACTGGCTACATCAATTCTATGTCGTATTACAGGAAGGCCGTGACGGAAATGGTCATAGGTTCCACTCGTAGGAATTGGTTGAGCAATTTTTCACTCCTACGAGCAATGAAGAGAAAGACCGTACTTCGCCGGGCAAACCTTTGTTACCAGTCACCTCTATAAAATAATATAATATAATATAATATAATATAATATAATATAATATAATATAATATAATATAATATAATATAATATAATATAATATAAGTATAAAGTAATATAATATAGATATAATATAATATAATATCAAATTAGATATAATATAGGATATAATATTGCGGAATATTAATATGATAGTAATATAATGATGAATATATATATTACGATATAATATAATATACATATATAATATATTAAATTAAATGTGGGGGTATGTATGATATGTATGTATGAATATGATATTGTATGATATGTGCTGTGTGTGTGTGTGGTGGTGTTGTGTGTGTGTGTGTTATGGTGTGTGTTGTGTGTAAGTGTGTGTGTGAGGGGGGGTGTCTATGTAACAGTAGTCAGCTGCCTATAAAGAAGGAATTTTGGCATTTCCCATGAGTGGCAGTAATGCCGTGACATCACATCTGTAGCTCGTATAGCTGTCCGTAAATACGCGTTAGGGTCTCTTCAAGAGTTACCCCTTACACCCCTTACACTAATGTTTGAATGCATTAAGCTAATTTGCGGGTTCATATGCGTGCATGCAAATTTAAGGTACGAATCCGAATCGATCTCCATAAAATAGGCGAGACTCTTAGGCGATATTAAGACTAGATAGAGATTAAGACTAAGACTTATACTAAATCCCTTAAAAATAGGCGAGGCTCTATATATAGGCAATATTAAGACGTGTTATGGCTATAGTTATCACTTGGAATAAAAACACTTAAAAATAGGCAAGACTCTATATAGGCAATATTAAGACTGCGTGCCACACCCATAGTAATCGCGTAGAAAAAAATCACTTAATAAAAAAATAGGCGCGACTATATATAAGAAATAGGAAGACTACGTGTTACGCACATAGTAATCAATTCGCCACTACGTTACCAGGAACAAGATGCTGGGACTCACGACCAGTATCAATGACTACGAGGGAGGTCTCAAGTGGGATCTGTGTCTCTGTCTGCTACTAGCCTGGATCATAGTCTGCTTGTGTCTCATCAAGGGCATCAAGAGCTCCGGCAAGGTATGTGACAGTGGAACTGGGAGCCACAGGCACTTGAAACGTCTGAATAAAAAATAAATAATGGTAAATAAACACGAAATGTATTATTTACTACCAAAGTCTTAATGTTGCTCTACTCTATTTCGCCTATTATTGTCGGGAACTTGCTGTAAATGCCGTTCAAATGCTCATCTGCAACACCTGAGTACACCGCACGCACGCACTGTGCACAAACAACAAGAAGAAGAGTTCTTAACGGCATTTACAGCAAGTTCTCGACAATAATAGGCGAAATAGAGTAGAGCAACATTAAGACTTTGGTAGTAAATACATTTCGTGTTTATTTACCTTTTTTTTATTGAGACGTTCCAAGTGCCTGTGCTGGGAGCGGGGGCTGAGTGGCCATCGCCGCATGGTTTCCTAAATAGTTTTTTTTATTTATTTTCTATATATATATATATAACATAACATATATAGATGTAGATATATATATATATAGAGAGAGAGAGAGAGAGAGAGAGAGAGAGCGCGCGAGAAAGAGAGATAGAGACAGAGGGCGGAATGATCAATTTCAGGTTATAGATCTAATGAATAAAAGCCGCCATCAGATTGATCAGAAATCGTTATGTCAACACCCCGTATTGAACTATAAATTTAGATAAATCATACATACACATATGTGCGTTATATATATATATATATATGGAGAGAGAGATAGATAGATAGATAGATAGATAGATAAATAGATAGATAGAACGCTAGAGAGATAGATAGATAGATAGATAGATAGATAGATAGATAGATAGATAGATAATAGATAGATAGATAGATACAATAGATAGATAGACAGATAGATAGATAGAGAGAGAGATAGATAGATAGATAGATAGATAGATAGATAGATAGATAGATAGATAGATAGATAGATAG